TTTAATTTTTTTCTACTATATTTTCTACTTTTGTGTAATATTTTCAAATTCTATTTTACTTCCATCAATTAATTTTAGTCTACTTCAGTGTATCCATGTATCAAAATTTCAAAGAATTTCCTTTTGTTTTTTTTCTTTTCGTTTTTTCTTTCCCCTATTTTCTCTAATCTATCAAGCCCCTTTCAACACCCAGAGTAAAAATATAGCATCATTTATTCCATTTTGTGTGTGTGTGTTTGTTTTTAATTTTTTAATTTTAGTATTTCCTTAATGTTATTTTTTTTATTTTAATTTAATCTAATTTAATTTTAATTTTTTTTATTTACCTCATTTTTTACCTCTCTGAGGGGAGAAAAGATGAAAAAACAAAAACAAATAAATAAAGACCAAAAGCAACAAAGACTAGAAAGGACCAGAGAACACCACCAGAAACTCCAACTCTACAAGCAACATAATGGCAATAAATTCATATCTTTCAGTACTCGCTCTAAACGTCAATGGAATAAATGTTCCAATAAAAAGACACAGGTTGACATAATGGATAAGAAAACAAGATCCATCTATATGCTGTTTACAAGGGACCCACTTTAGACCTAAAGACACCTTGATATTGAATGTAAGGGGATGGAGAACCATCTATGGTCAACAAAAGAAAGCCAGAGTAGCCATACTTATATCAGACAATCTAGTCTTTAAAGTAAAGATTGTATCAAGAGATGAAGAAGAGCATTATATCATAATCAAGGGGTCTATCCACCAAGAAGACCTAACAATTGTAAACATTTATGTGCCAAATGTGTCAGCACCCAAATATATAAAGCAATTAATCACAAACATAAAGAAACTCATTGATAGTAATATAATAGTAGGAGACCTCAACACCCTGCTCACAGCAATGCACAGATCATCCAATCAAAACATCAACAAGGAAACAATGGCTTTGAATGACACACTGGACCAGATGGACTTAAAAGATATGTTCAGAACATTTCATCCTAAAGCAGCAGAATATACATTCTTCTCCAGTGCACATGAAATATTCTCCAGAATAGACAACATACTGGGACATAAATCAGCACTCAACAAGTACAAAAAGACTGAGATCATACCAGGCATGTTTTCAGACCACAACACTATGAAACTCCAAATCAACCACAAGAAAATAAATTTGAAAAGGTAACAAATACTTGGAGACTAAAGAACTCCAAATACTTGGAGAGTAAATAACATCCTACTAAAGAATGAATGGGCTAACCAAGAAGTTAAAGAGGAAATTAAAAAGTTCATGGAAGCCAATGAAAATGATAACACCACAACCCAAAACCTCTGGGACACAGGAAAGGCAGTCATTAGAGGAAAGTATATAGCAATCCAGGCCTTCCTAAAGAAGGAAGAAAGATCTCAGATACACAACCTAACCTTACGCCTTAAAGAGCTGGAAAAAGAACAGCAAATAAAACCCAAAACTATCAGAAGACAGGAAATAATAAAGATTAGAGCAGAAATTAATGCTATAGAAACAACAAAAAAAAAAAAAAAAAAAAAAACCAGAACAGATCAATGAAACCAGAAGCTGGGTCTTTGAAAAAATTGACAAAATTGATAAACCACTACCCAGTTTGATCAAAAAGAATAAGAAAAGGACCCAAATAAATAAAATCAAGAATGAAAGAGGAGAGATCACAACCAACACAGCAGAAAATAAAAACAATGGTAAGAGAATATTATGAGAAATTATATGCCAATAAAATGGGCAATCTGAAAGAAATGGACAAATTCCTAGAACCATATACACTACCAAAACTGAAACAGGAAGAAATAGAAAATTTGAACAGACCCATAACCAGTAGAGAAATCAAATTAGTAATCAAAAATCTCCCAAAACACAAGAGTCCAGGGCCAGATGGCTTTCCAGGGGAATTTTCCCAAACATTTAAAGAAGAGTTAACACCTATTCTCTTGAAGCTGTTCCAAAAAACTAGAAATGGAAGGAAAACTTCCAAACTCTTTCTATGAAACCACCATTACCTTGATTCCAAAACCAGACAGAGACCCCACTAAAAAGGAGAACTATATACCAATTTCCCTGATGAACATGGATGCAAAAATCCTCAACAAGGTATTAGCCACCTGGATCTAACAATACATTAAAAAATTTATTCATCCCGAGCAAGTGGGATTTATACCTGTGACGCAGGACTGGTTCAATACCCACAAAACAATCAATGTGATTCATAACATCAAAAAAAGAAAGGACAATAACATATGATCCTCTCAATAGATGCAGAGAAAGCATTTGACAAAATACAGCATCCTTTCTTGACAAAACCCTCAAGAAAGTAGGGATAGAAGGATCATACTTCAAAATCATAAAAGCCATATACAAAAGACCCAACACTAATATCATCCTCAATGGGGAAAAACTGAGAGCTTTCCCCCTAAGGTCAGGAAAAAGACAGGGATGTCCACTCTCACCACTGTTATTCAACATAGTATTAGAAGTCTTAGCCTCAGCAATCAGACAACACAAAGAAATAAAAGACATCCAAATCAGCCAGGAGGAGGTCAAACTTTTAGTCTTCACAGATGACATGATATTCTATATGGAAAACCCAAAAGATTCCACAAAAAACTGGTAGAACTGATCCATGAAATCAGCAAAGTTGCAGAATATAAAGCCAATGCACAGAAATCGGTTGCATTCCTATACACCAACAGCAAAGTGACAGAAAGAGAAATCAAGGAATCGATCCCATTTACAGTTGCACCAAAAGCCATAAAATACCTAGGAATAAATCTAACCAAAGAGGTGAAAAATCTATACACTGAAAACTATAGAAAGCTTATGAAAGAAATTGAAGAAGACACAAAAAAATGGGAAAAGATTCCATGCTCCTGGATAGGAAGAATAAATAGTGTTAAAATGTCGATACTTCCCAAAGCAATCTACATATTGAATGCAATCCCTATCAAAGTAACACCAGAATTCTTCACAGAGCTAGAAAAAATAATCCTAAAATTTTTATGGAACCAGAAAAGACCCCAAATAGCCAAAGCAATCTTGAAAAAGAAAACCAAACAGGAGGCATCACAATCCCAGACTTCAAGCTATACTACAAAGCACATCACAATCCCAGACTTCAAGCTACACTACAAAGCTGTAATCATCAAGACAGTATGGTACTGGCACAAGAACAGACACTCAAATCAATGGAACAGAATGGAAAACCCAGAAATGGACCCACAAACGTATGGCCAACTAATCTTTGACAAAGCAGGAAAGAATATCCAATGGAATAAAGACAGTCTCTTCAGCACGTGGTGCTGGGAAAACTGGACAGCGACATGCAGATGAATGAACCTGGGCCACTTTCTTACACCATACACAAAAATAAACTCAAAATGGATGAAATACCTCAATGTAAGACAGGAAGCCATCAAAATCCTCAAGGAGAAAGCAGGCAAAAACCTCTTTTTGACCTCGGCCACAGCAACTTCTTACTCAACACATCTCCAGAGACAAGGGAAACAAAAGCAAAAATGAACTATTGGGACCTGCACAGCAAAGGAAACAATCAGCAAAATTAAAAGGCAACCAACCAACAGAATGGGAGAAGATATTTGCAAACTACATATCAGATAAAGGGTTAGTATCCAAAATCTATAAAGAATTTATCAAACTTAACACCCAAAAATCAAATAATCCAGTGAAGAAATGGGCAAAAGACATGAATAAACACTTCACCAAAGAAGACATCCATATGGCCAAACTGACAGATGAAAAAAATGCTCAACATCACTCATCATCAGGGAAATACAGATCAAAACTACAATGAGATACCACCTCACACCTGTCAGAATGGCTAAAATGAACAACTCAGGAAACAAAAGATGTTGGCAAGGATGCAGAGAAAGAAGATCTCTTTTGCACTGATGCAAACTGGTGCAGCCACTCTGGAAAACAGTATGGAGGTTCCTCAAAAATTAAAAATAGAACTACCCTACGAGCCAGCAATTGCACTACTAGGCATTTATCCAATAGGTATCCAATAGGTATCCAATAGGTATATCCAATAGGGATATAGGTATGATGTTTCCAAAGGGCACATGCACTCCAATGTTTATAGCAGCACTACTGATCATAGCCAAAGTATGGAAAGAGCCCAAATGTCCATTGGTGGATGAACGGATAAAGAAGATGTGGTATAGATATACAATGGAGTATTACTCAGTAATCAAAAAGAATGAAATCTTGCCATTTGCAACTATGTGGATGAAACTAGAGGATATTATGCTAAACAAAATTAGTCAGTCAGAGAAAGACAAATATCATATGACTTCACTCATATGAGGACTGTAAGAGACAAAACAGATGAACATGAGGAAATGGAAGCAAAAATAATATAAAAACAGGGAGGGGGACAAAACATAAGAGACTCTTAAATAAGAAGAACAAACAGAGGGTTCCTGGAGGGGTTGTGGGAGGGGAGATGGGCTCAATGGGTAAGGGGCATTAATGAATCTATTCCTGAAATCATTGTTGCACTATATGCTAACTAATTTGGATGCAAATTACAAAAATAAAATTTAAAAATATTTTCCAAAAACAAAAAAATAAATAAACAAATAAACAAACAAATAAACAAAATGACTCCGTGTTTTGGGGTTTCTTATTCTTAGCTCCTTAACTCACTTTCCCTCTAAGACCTCTAAACTTGTCATAGTTTAAAGGACCTGTTTGGATAGGAGATTCGAGTTCCAAGTTTGAAAAGTAGTTGTTCTATTCAGTCTGCCTTCCTACACATTGCCACCTTATATTTGGGCTTCTAATCTGTTTGCCCAATAATTCTGTGGGATAGAAGGCATCCTTTTGCTTTCCACCAACAGCACTTTAATGATGTATGTATATATGTATGTATGTATGTATGTATATACATATATATATACACATACATATATATAAAAACACATAAATCTACAGAACACAAAGCAAAACTTACCTTCATAAATGAAGAATCTGGATACAATGTTCCTGATTTGTTGTATGCATACACAAGGAAATGAGGGTCTAAAAATGACCTAATTCAAGGAAAGGAATGACACTTCACTGTAATAGTAATATAAATACAAGCAAAATCATGAAATTAAGCATAATTTACATTCAATTTTACAGTTTCAAATACCCAAAAATTAAATTGAGCCAGCTCTCCATTATCTCATTTGCTTTCTGACAGCATGTTTTGTATATAGGAAAACATAATAAGCAGTATAATCAGATATCAGTAGGGACATCATAATGACATAGATCTATGTATAATAAAAACCAGGACTTCCAGATTCCCACAACAAATTTTCTTTAAGATCCGACCATCAGTAAATCTCAGGGCATAAATATATTTGCTAACAAGTAGCCATGGATTGATAAGAAACAAAAAAATATATGCTTTTTCTGATAGCTTTCATGAAATTGTGCTGTGGTAAAAACAACCTCAGAATTCTCAATGCCTTAAATCAACAGTGAATGTTCTTTACATGTTTATTGTCAACTCCACACTATCTTCATTCTGGAACCTGGGAAAAGACATACCTCCTACCCGCTGAAACATGCTTTTCTTGTAGCAGAAGAGGAAAAGAAATTGTAGAAGCACACAATAGTTCTTAAAGCCTTTTTTAGAAGACTAGTGTTTTGCTCAAATTTCATAAGATAAATGATCTCTACAGACAAACCTCACATAAATGGTATGAAAGTGAAATCTTACAGAGAAGATAGCGATTCTTACGGAACAATCTGACACCATTATTTATTGTGGAGAGAACTGGGGTTTCTCAAGGATTCCAGATATCAAGGGGCAGTTCAAGGCCAAGAGTCAAAGAAGGACTAGAGCATTCACGGAGTGCATACTTTCACCACTACTTCTCTTTCCAGACCTCCTTCATCTTTGCTCATTCCTGACAGCTTTCTCTTTTCCTCAATTTAAATAACAAAACCAGAGGGCTTCCCAGAAAAAAAACTGATATTTACCACCTCATATTGCACACATATTCAAGGACATCCCAAATATTCTGGGTTGGTTTATATGCAAGTACCTAGAACACAAATTCTGACACAAGGGCAGAGCCTCATTTTAGCAACTAAGCATGGAAATGAAGGTGGTGGAAATGGAAACCCAGAATCATATCCCAGGAAAACGAAATTCAACAGATTTCTGAAAAGCATAATTAAAAGAACATATTTGCAAATGACATATCAGATAAAGAGTTAGTATCCAAAATCTATAAAGAACTTACCAACTCAACCACCAAAAGACAAATAATCCAGTGAAGTAATGGGCAGAAGATATGAATAGATACTTTTCCAAAGAAGACATCCAGATGGCTAACAGACACACGAAAGGATGCTCAGCAACACTCATCATCAGCGAAATACAAATCGAAACCTCAGTGAGATACCACCTCACACCTATCAGAATGGCAAAAATTAACAACTCAGGAAACAACAGATGTTGGCAAAAATGTGGAGAAAGGGGAACTCTTTTGCACTGTTCATGGTAATGTACACTGGTACAACCACTCTGGAAAACAGTTTGGAAGTTCCTCAAAAAACTAAAAATAGAACTATCCTACAACCCAGCAATTGCACTACTAGGTATTTATTGAAAGGATACAAAAATGCTGATTCATAGGGCCACATGCACCCCAATATTTATATCAGCACTGTCAACAAATAGCCAAAGTATGGAAAGAGCCCAAATACCCAATGACTGATGAATAAAGAAGAAGTGTGGTGTATATATATATATATATATATATATATATATATATACACACACACATATACATATATGTATACATATATACATATATATACATATATACATATATATATATATACACACACACATACACACACACACACACACACACACACACACACACACAATGGAATACTTCTTGGTGATGAAAAGAATGAAATCTTGCCATTTGCAACAACGTGGATGGAATTAGAGTGTATCATGCTAAGCGAAATAAGTCAGTCAGAGAAAAACAAGTATCATATAATTTCACTCATACGTGGAATTTAAGAAACACAACAGATGAACATAAAGGAAGGGAAGGAAAAATAAGATAAAAACGGAGAGGGAGGCAGACCATAAGAGACTTTTTTTTTCAATGTTTATTTATTTTTGAGAGAGAGTAAGAAAGAGACTGAATGGGAACATGGGAGGGGCAGAGAGAGGGAGACACAGAATCTGAAGCAGGCTCCAGGCTCTGAGCTGTCAGCACAGAGCCCTACATGGGGCCCAAACTCACAAACCATGAGATCATGACCTGAGCCAAAGTCAGAGGCTTAACCGAGTAAGCCACCCAGGAGCACCCATAAGAGACTCTTAAATATGAAGAACAAACTGAGGGTTGCCAGAGGGGAGGTGGGGGCAGGGGGAGAAAAGGGCCAAATGGGCTATAGGCCTTAAGGAGGGCACTTGTTGGGATAAGCACTGGGTGTTATATGTAAGTGATGAATCACTGGGTTCTACCCCTGAAGCCAATACTATGCTATATGTTAACTAACTTGAACTTAAATAAATAATTTTTTTTAAATAAAAGGATAAAAGTTTAGTTTGCAAGTTTATTCATCCTGGGTATAAAAGTATACTTTTGCTTCTTCACAAAACAACAAAGAAGTCTGCTTAGTGAAATAAAAAAAATACAAATGACCATTCAATGGAAAACAACATTCAATGTAAGGAAAATGAACAACAAAAGGGAAAAAGACAAAACTTCAAAGCAAGTTCCCTATGAGGTTGAATGAAGAAATTGATTACAGAAAATAATGATTATTTAAAGCAAAGTTAACAAGTTAAAAAGTTAATAGGCTTTCAAAGCATATCATTTAAGAAAAAAAATACTCAAACTAAAATGATGATGACAGTTAAAAATAATTTAATAAATGTCCCAAAGAGAATTTGTGTGCTGAGAACAGAATTAGAGGCCTAGCCAATAAACAGAACACATTTACTACCAAATAGGTAAAAAACACAGCCAAAATCTAGATGTAAAAATTGTTGAAGGAAAACCTATACTATAAAGGGCAGATCCATAAGACCCTGGATGAGACCATATATTTCCATAAAATGTTTTAAAATGTGTATGATTTGGGGTGCCTGGGTGGCTCAGTCGGTTAAGCATCCGACTTCGGCTCAGGTCATGATCTCACAGTTCATGAGTTCGAGCCCCACATCAGGCTCTGTGCTGACAGCTCAGAGCCCGGAGCCTGCTTCAGATTCTGTGTCTCCCTCTCTCTCTGCCCCTCCCCCACTCATGCTCTGTCTCTCTCTGCTTCTCAAAACTAAACGTAATAAAAAAAAATTTTTTTTTAATGTGTAATGATTTGAAACTAAAATGAAAAATTAAGGGGCGCCTGGGTGGCTCAGTCGGTTAAGCGTCCGACTTCAGCTCAGGTCACAATCTCGCGGTCTGTGAGTTCAAGCCCCACGTGGGACTCTGGGCTGATGGCTCAGAGCCTGGAGCCTGCTTCCGATTCTGTGTCTCCCTCTTTCTCTGCCCCTGCCCTGTTCATGCTCTGTCTCTCTCTGTCTCAAAAATAAATAAACGTTAAAAAAAGTTTTTTTAAATAAAATGAAAAATTAAGGGATTTATTCAATTATGAGAACAAAAGGGACATTTGCAGATATGAACAGGTTTAGAAAGCAACCCATCTGAAGAAAATAATCTGAAACTAGTCTAACTAAACAATACAAACTAAACTAATACAATATTGCATAAAATTGCAATAAAAGGAAAAAATAAAAAGAGAGCAGAAATAAAACTTGGAAAATGCAAAAACAGTTGGTAGGTAAAGAAACTGAAAGCATTGGATTTACATCATAAATGTAAAAAGAATTTTTAAAATTATACAGGAATATTATAAATTCAAGATGTGAGTGACACAAGTGAGGAACCTATGAAAGAAAATATGAGTATAATGATTATATGAATATTTCATTTTTTTAGCAATAAATCCCACAAACAAAGGAAGAAGACAATAAGTAAGCTGGATAGCATGTTTGCAACATACAGAACGTATAAAGAGTTAATATCTACAGGAAACAAACTTCCCACAGATTGATCATGGGAAAAAAAAAAACAGAAAGAAAAGCAGAAGGATAAGCCATAGATTGAAAATAAATAACCCAAAACAAATGAATAGAAATAACAATAAAATAGCATTTCTTATGCATTAACAAAAATAAGTGAGTGAAGATACTTATTTTATTAAGAATGTAGAGAACAGATATGTTTTTGAATTATTGGTGTGAGTGAAGACTGGTATAAATCCTTGGAAGTAAAAATTAGTAGCATACAGCACTCTTGACAATTGTATCATTTACTGCCCTTCAATTTCACTGGAGCCCAGAACATCATGGCCAAAGATAGCCACAATACAGCTTTTCTTGCTATAAATATACAGGTTGACAAATAACAAGTGAGATATATTTATTCGATGGCTACATATGTATTTACAATCAATGAACTCATTCTGCACAAATCTGTATGAATGACTCTCAAATAAAGATGTTATGAAAAAATTTGCACAAAAAGCACAGCCTCAAAACCAGAAACACACCCAATAACATAATTAGTATCTATTGCTCACACTTCTGGGTCAAGTGTGAGTAGACTTAGTAGTTCTGCTAATGGTGGCCGGGCTTGATCAATGGTCTGGGATTCAGCTGAATGTTGACTTATCTAGAGATGATTAGGGCACCTTGGCTGTGCCCCACCTGTCTCCATCTCCCAGCAAGTTGGCCCAAGCATATTCTCATGGGGATGGCAGACAAACAAGATGGAGAGCAGGAACGCAGGGGAGCTTTTTCAAACCTCTGTTTAAATCAAGTCAGCTAACATCTTTTTTGGCCAAAGTAAGTCACATAGCCATAGAATGGGCTACATGATTTGCAGGGCCCGTAGTGAAATTAAAATACAAGCTCTCTTGTTCAAAAGTATTAAGAATCTCAGGGAAGCAACAACAGAGAATTAAACCAAGTACAGAGCATGTCTAACCATGGAGTCCTAGAGGACCATACACCCATGAAGTTGGCCTTGCACAGATAAACTCATATCCAAGGGCTGGGAGTGGGGAGGCTGGGGTGTGATGCATATATTCCACCTCTTGATGATAGGAACTCAAAGTTACATGGCAAAGAGTGAAGATAAAGGCAAAGGTAAAGAATTGGGGTCACTTTAGTGGTCCACCATATTAAGATAAATTATATAGAGAAGTATTGTGCCATTTATGTGTATTTAAAGTAGTACTCAAAACATGATGATTATTTTTTTTTAATTTAATTTTATTTATTTTGAGAGAGAGAGAGAGAAGCAGAGAGAGAGGGATAGAGAGAATCCCAGGCAGGCTCAGTGCTATTAGCTCAGAGTCCAATGCAAGGCTCAATCTCATGAATCACGAGCTCATGACCTGAGCCAAAGCCAATAAATCAAGCAAAACATGATTACTTTTATTAATCTCTAGGCATACAGATGAATAAGGATAAAATCATGACACTAGAGTATGTGTCAGTATCATAACTGTGATTAGCACTGGGGAGTGAAAGAACTATTTCTGGAAATTGAAATGATAGATTTCACTATTACCTGTCATGTACACCTTTTAGAAAAATAGATAAATAAAATGCTTACATGTGTGTCTTTCATGATAAGAAAGTAATTATATTATTCTCATAATTTTCCTTTTTTAAATGTCTAATCCTTCAAAAGAAAAAAGCAAATATAAAAAATATTGGACTAATATAAACCATGGACTTTGGGTGATAATGACGTGCAGGCTCATCAATTATAACAAATATATCACTCTGGTGGGGCATGTTGATAATGGGGAGGCTATACATGTGTGCGGGGAGGCACAGGGTATATGCAGAAACACTGTACCTTCCACTCAATATTGCTGTGAACCTAAAACTGCTCTGAAAAATAAATATTAAATTAGAACCAGGAAACAGGAAAATGAAAATAGTTGATAATTGTTTAGATACCTTATTTAGGGAAATACAAATTGACACAAAGATGCAGTATAATATTTTGGCACATCTTGCATGCTTTTGAAAATCGAAACTGCTACTGTCTTTTCAGAAACTGGCATTATCTCTCAAAATCCTAATATAAAATGTGAGTAATAAAGAAGGTTGGTCTGGACATTATACCAGTAACTATATGCAAACTGCTTAGAAATATGTCTGGTAATTGATATGTGCCCCATAATGTCAGTTACTTTTGTTGTTTTGTTGTTATCATTATCACTATTATTACTTTTATTCATACTTCCTGATCCAGAAACACATTTCTTGATATCAGGCCTACAAAACAAAATCTCTATTACATAAAAACACACATACAAGGATGTTTATTGCAGGCCTCTTTAGTGACAATCCCTGGAAACAACCTCATTACCTATCAACCTGCCATACTACAGATGTTAGCTGTTAAAGAATGAGCTAAGATATATATATGAAGCAAGAAAATGAACACTGTTATTAAATAAGACCTGCCAATCACAGAACAGTATTTCCATTTGTCTAAAAACAAACCATTTTAGTAGGTTTCTACATATTTTATTTAAATGAAAGGTGAGATTTAGAATAGAAATAAAATGGTGGAAAGATACACACAAGGTTATTAATTGGTGAAATTGGTTTCTTCACAGAGTGAAAATTTAAGAGATTAAAAAAATGTTGGTGTTGGGTCACCTGCGTGGCTCAGTCGGTTAAGCCTCCCACCTCAGCTCAGGTCATGATCTCACAGTTCATGGGTACGAGCCTCGCATCAGGCTCTGTGCTGACAGCTCAGAGCCTGGAGCCTGCTTCGGATTCTGTCTCCCTCTCTCTCTGCCCCTCCCTGACTCGTGCTCTGTCTCTCTCTCTCTCAAAAATGAATAAACATTAAAAAAAATATTAAAAACATTAAAAAACATTCACAACATTTTAAAAAACATTAAAAACACTAAAAAAAACATTAAAAAAAATGTTTAAAGACCTACAGGCCAATATTCCTGATGAATATGGATGCAAAAATTCTCAACAAGATACTAGCAAACTGAATTCAACAGCATATAAAAAGAATCATTCACCATGATCAAGTGGGATTCATTCCTGGGCTGCAGGGCTAGTTCAATATTCACAAATCAATCAATGTGAGACATCACATTAATAAAAGAAAAGGTAAGAACCATATGATCCTGTCAATAGATGCAGAAAAAAAAATTTTAAATATTAAAAAAAATGTTGGTGTAATATCAAGTAAAATGCTTAAAATCATGTATATAATCATAAAGTCATATATAAAATGACAGCATGAACAAAATTCAATATAGACAAATAAAGCTATTGCCTTAATTGTTACAGTTGTAGCTATATTGTAAAGAGTTATATAGACTAATTTTCATCTATCTGATATACATTAACTTTACATCATGAAATTAGAATTTGGCTCAAACATTAGACTTAAAATCTCAAGATGAAAACTTGGAACTCTAGTCTGACTTGAATCACAAAGATGTAACATGTTAAATATAAGAGTCATGCTCTTGTTTAGGCTCAACTTAGGGTAGTGACTGTAAAAATTTCAGAAACTAAAAACAACTGTATGAAAAGAAGAATGTCTACTTACTGTTTTTCAAGGTGGAGAGTGTATATTTTCTGGTCAATTTTGATGGCATAAGTGACCTACAGCAAAGTATTCAGAGAGAACGTAATTATTAGAAATCAAAATTCTTAAAATTTATTTACTCTTTCATATAAACATAGATCATATCACACATGTCTCAAGATAACATATGCATATATAAGTATATTGCTATCTTCTCTCCATCTTGGAATATATGACAGAATTAACCATAATTAAATTTCAATGAAATCAAGGAGTCTAAATCTGTTTCAAAACTAAGAGCATTAGTCATTAACATTTATTATCATAATGAAATTTTAATTTAAAATGGTACATTTAGAAATGTTGAGTAATCTTGGAAGAAACCTGAATTTCATTATCTTTTCTCTACTTTGCAATTTCTACCCCAAATAAATTGAAAATTAAATACAACATGGGTCCCCTTTTAAGATGATAGGAAGCGTCCCCAAGCTGTCAGAAGTGCTACCCACAGAATCTTCATCTCCCTGTCCTCTTTAGGAATTGCCTCAGCTGAAGAGGGTCACCTCACACCAACTCACAACTTTCTGATACAGCCCCCATTTAATGAGAAGCCCCGTCATTCCAACTCCAGATCTTGATGGGCCATGCCAGCTTCACACTTTGTTGAGACTCAGTTGAGTCTCTGTCTCCCCATTCCTGCTTCTTCTCATCCTTTCCACAGGCGCTCATCACAAGAGCATACCTGCCTTCATGAGAATCCTCTCAAAGACCACATCCCAAAGAATCCAATTTGTGACATTATCATAAAACATACACATGGTTAATTTCCACATTTACAAAATGTAGAAAACATGGGGAAAAATGTGAATTTTGCTATTGAGCATGGTTGTCATTGGGTACAGTTTTCTGCATAAGTCATTTTAAACCTTCTATAGTGTTCTTTTATAACTTACAACTCTTGAAAAAGGTGTGTTGACATCTCCCCAAATTATTGTGACATTGTTTTTCTCCTTTTAATCTATAGTTTTCTTCAGTACATTTTTTGAATCTTTGTTGGTGGGTGCAAAGAGGAATAAAATTTACAAAATTGCAAATGACTGTAAAGTATGCCTCTATGTCATTTCAGAATATGACTTGAATTTGGGGTTGTAATTTCTTCAATCTCATCTATTATTGTTTAATATCCATTATGACTTATGATTTCTTCTTCAACCCATGAATAATGTAGAAGTGTATTTTTAAATTTCCATATACATTTTAAATTGTTTTAAGATTTAACTTAATTGAATTGTTACAAGATAAATACTGTATTGTCAGAATTTGATATTTTAACATTTTTTCCTTGTTTTTGTCAATTTTGTTGAATTATCTGTATATTCTTGAGAAGAATGTGCATTATTTACTATATAGTTGAATTACAGCTGGATTAGAAAAACACTACCTTTATTTCTGGAGTTGCCTACAAGTCTAGATGTTCTGACTCTCTGTTGAGACAAAGACAGTGAGGTTTATAGGGTACTTTTTAAGGTTCAAAAACTCTTTTGACTAAAGTTAACTTCTTTAATGTTTCCCTAACCAGTTTGACAAGGTTGGCTTGGCTACTTAAAGCATCACTGAAAGCTTTTTAAGGAGTCCTCCGAAAGCCAAAATTCCTACCATAAGTCTCATTATTTCAAGCCAGAGACTCAACATGTTCTAGGAACGCAGAGACTGGGTTCATATGAAGCTCACTGTTGAGTGCTTCTGGAATTCCTGATATTTGCCTGAATTCTCTTTCTCTTGCTGCACTATATGCTTTGCCATTAAATAAAAGCCTTATGGTGATATCCCATAGAGTTTAGTGAGTCCAAACAAATAGCAGAGAGGAAAAAACAATATATTCAATTTGATGGGTTCACTTCTATATAAACCCGTCAAATATTTTTGTTGTCCAAATTGTCTTTATGAATCCCTTTATGATTTGTAAACCAACATTTGAGAAAAACATTTTAAGATATCACTATGAAAATGGATTTGAAAAATTCTTCCTTTAGTGTAATCAGTCCTTATATGTGAGAGCATTTTTCTTAAAACATACAAATTTAGAACTGTTATATATTCCTAGTGAACTGAATATTTTATTAAGTAGCATGCTTATCTCTCATAATGGTGTGTGGGTATGTGTACTAAATGTTGGTTTTCTCCCACTTTTGTCATGGATACTCGTGGTTGCTTTTGGTTAGCATGTTCCCAGTATATGTCCTAAACATTTTAAATTCTCTGGGTATTTGTTTGGGTGTAATAGCTTTTATGAACACATAATTACTGGATTGTGTGTGTGTGTGTGTGTGTGTGTGTGCCATAAAAGGAGACAAACAGACCACTCAGTCTATAAAACCCACCCCAGCGTCTAACAGTTTTCCAGTTGACAATTCAATGCTCCTCTCAGATATTGCTACAGAGGTTCCAATCCTTGGATTCCTATCATATTCCCGTGTGTCTTTACATCAACACATCTTTCTTGAAAACAAAGTGTCCTAACCAAAACTAATTCATATAAAAAGGGAAGACAAGGGGCACCTGGGTGGTTCAGTTAGTTAAGCGTCTGACTGCTGGGCTCAGATCATGATCGCACAGTTTGTGAGTTCAAGCCCTACATCGGGCTCTGTCCTGACAGTTTAGAGCCTTCTTGGGATTCTGTGTTTCCCTCTCTCTGTCCCTTCCCTGCTTTTTCTCTCTAAAATAAATAAAACTTTTTTAAAAAGGGAAATCAAAATCAGTAAGAAATTAACAAGAAAAAAAAGATTCAAATAGGCAATATATGTAAAAGCATCTTAAGACTTAATTTAAAAATGCCAATTAAAAGTGAAGCATTCATTATACTTATCACATTGACAGGAACGAGAAGCCGGGAGTGCCTGGGTGGCTCAGTTGGTTGAGCATCTAACTCGATTTTGACTCAGGTCATGATCTCACAGTTTTGTGAGTTCAAGCACCACATCAGGCTCTGCACTGACAGCACAGGGCCTGCCTGAGATCCTCCTTCTCTCTCTCTCTCTCTCTCTCTCTCTCTCTCTGCCCCTCCCCCACTCACACTCTGTCTCTCTCAAAATAAATAAACTTAAAAAAAAAAAAAAAAAACAGGTATAAGAAGTCTGAACCAAGCCTGCAAAAGCCCTCAAGAAGCATCATTATTCTTTGTTAATGAAAGTTAACTACAATAAAACTTTTCTGATAGATATTTT